GGAAGCCATCGACAAAGAACACAAGCAACTTGGAGACCAGTCTGAGGCTTATGCCAAGCAGCTGAAGGAAGAAGCAGTGCCCATGCCCCCGGCACATGAGCATGTTCTGGATACAGATACAACAGAACATGTGTTGAAGGCTTTGGGACAAGCGGGCATCATTTTCAATTCGGACCAGCAAAAGGAGTTGGAACGGAATCTTGCAGAGACCTTGGCCAAGCGCCGCAAGACAGAAGGTGAAGCCCAGTTGAGTGGGTAACACCTGCAGGACATCTTCTGAAGAAAAAAAGGTGCATTTTTCTGGCAGTGAAGGGGTCCTGGTGGAAAACTGATATGGCAGCCCTTGGGAAGACTCAAAGGTGAGGGACTGTTTGAGTGTTTGGACACGGGGCACTTTTTCTCACACTGCTTGGGGAACAGCCGTGCAAGGTTTTGAGTGTGAAGAGTTGCAGTTTGCGGAGGACCATGCAGAGTTCAATGAATTTGTGCATGCATGGCATCGAGGATTGCAGCCGTATGCGAATGTCAGTGGATACTCATCATTTTGACATTGCAGTGGGTGTTGATCATGACATCTCATGTGCTTTAGAGCCTGGGGACACCACGTCGGCTTCCTGTGGCAATGGCATCGAGATTGAAGCTGGAGACGAGATGAGCTGGCTTGGAAACACTGCAGTGGAGCTCAGGATGGAGATAGTAAATGCAGCCACTCCTGACACCTCCCACGCAAAGCCAATGGAGGATATTTCAGAGGTTGAAGAGAACAATGATGGCGCAAGCCCTACTGGGCTGGACAATAATGGTAAGGCTGTTCAGGATGTGATAAGGGCACCGCGCACACCGAGCTCAGAGCGGCCAGGATCACCTAGACCTGCTTCTTGCGGGACCTGACTCACATCCATACAGCCACAGATGAGTGGAACCTGCAGGATGATGCTGGACCACAATGTGCCTTCTCGGGTGGAGGCAAGCGAGAGAGAGAGAGAGAGAGAGAGAAGACGATTACTACATCCTTGAGGATGAAGCTCGACAAGATTTTGAGCAGACAACGCCGGGCTTGTTGCAAGACCGCCTGGTAACTCTGCAAGCCAGGGCGCTAGAGGCCATCCAGGCTTTGCCGGCTGAGTGTCGAGAAGACAGGGACTATGGAATGGTGGAAACTCGCGTATGGGGACTGGAGGCTTTGAAGCACATCCTGCGAATGAGACTGGCACTTCAAGGTAGCATCCAATTGACGAGGCCTGTTACACAAGAGCCGGACATTCCACCAGCCAATGAACTGCTTGCGGCAAATCTCACCCTCAACATCCGCAATAAAGGCAACAGATGTTTTGCCAACTCTGTCCTGAGGATGTGGTGCTGGATGGGAGCTCATCATGACAAACCTGAAGCAAGATGACATCCAGGACATCTTTTGGGCCTTGAGTTGCAGCCGGTCATTGCCAGGTTGGACAACCCCTAGAATCAGCATGATTCCTCTGAATTTCTGGTGATGTTGTGGGAGATGTGGGGTCAGACTGGACTCCAGGGCAACTGGCATGCACATTTTGGAGGTTGCCACTGTTCATTAGAATGCCTGAAGCTGCAGGTGATGGGGTCAGCTTTGAGCAGTTGCTGGCGGACTGGGCAAATGAAGGCAGTGGACAATGACGTTGGGAGGTACTCCCTCTCAGCAAAGGCCAGGGCCTGGGTGAAACATCGCAATCGACTGCACACTCCATCGACCTTCAAGTGTCCACAGCGCACCTGGCCATGCGGGACACTCCACCTTTGCGCTACGTGGCATCATTGCCCATCAAGGGGAAGAGTTGGTGTCGGGCCACTATGTCACGATGTTGGTTGAGGGTGATGCCATTTGGGCTGTTGATGATGGTGAACGCCCACAAGTCCAAAAAGAAATGCCTGAATACATCCAACGTGGAGCTGTCATGATCTGGGCCTCACGAGCAGAGCCATCCAACTTCTGGACTAGAACCATTGGCAGCTTTGATCCACCTGCCAAACGGCAGCGGCTGTCTGGTGAAGGAATGGAGTTCCTCTCTATGGCAACATCACGCAATGGACGCGTGACACCAAGGAATGGCTACTGCAACAGGACATTCAAGTAGCTCTGCTGGTTGAGACGCGCCTACATGGAGCAAAACTCAAGACGGCCAAAGAGCGAGTTGCGCCGAAGCAGATGGCAGCCAGAGTTCCTTCAAGCCTATGAGACTGGCAGAGGAGGTACGAGTGGAGCTCAGTTTGCTGCGGTTGGAGACTCTCAGACAGTGGGATGAGTTTCAGCCACAACCCAAACTTTTCTGGTTGGGTAGGCAGTTTGGCCCCAAAGAGATTCAGTGTGCTGAATGGTGCCACCAAGCAGAACAGTATGTGCTTCAGAATCTGCATGCACCCAAACAAGGTAGGGGTTGGTATCTTGCTCTGGAGTTGAAACCTTTGCCGCCGACCAAGCCCTTGACGCCGTGGAAGAACGGAGATCTGGCCTACTGGGGGCAGTTTTGTTCCCTTCTGTACCATGTTGCCTCAAAAGGCTTCCTAGGGCCGAGCGCTATGGTGCATTTGAAGGCCAAGACTGCTGACCTGGAGCTACGATGGCAAGATATTCATGGGAAGCGGAACTTTCGAGAAGCCATGGAGATACTGCTGACCGGAGATGGGAAGCCTCTGACCCTGCTTATCAAAGGTGCGGAAGCCAACAAGGATTTTGCCAAGAAAGTGAATGGAGCAGCAAGCTCATCACAGTGGCATTTATCGAAACCTCAAAGCACCAGACGCAGTTCATGCGCGGCCTTTTCGGAACATCCCTGTTCAGGACAGGATAGACAAACCAATTGCAAGTGGGGAGAAAGAGAGAGAGAGAGAGAGAGAGGCTTCGATGGGAAGCAGTGCAACAAGCACGCAGATGGGAAGATCTTGATCCGCATGATGCGATGAAGAAATTGCGGAAGCTTCCCCAGAAAGCATGTGGTCCACATGGCATTAGCTATGCCCTACTGAAGAATTTGCCCATTGAAAGTGTCACTGATCTGCGCAGTATGTTCCGGAAGGCTGCCGGACCAAGTTTGTACAACGCTGGTTGTGTTGCTTCCCAAAAAAGGAGGACATTGAGCGTCCCATATCGTTGACAAGTGTGCTGTACCGGACCTTGTGCAAACTGAGGTGGGATAAGCTCGGGCATTGGCAGAGCAGCATTGGCCAACGTTTGCCGTGGGAGCGCAGCCTGCCAGGCATACAAGTTCTTCAAGTAGCCGTCATGCGCCTCCTCACGTGTGAGGTCGGTCGAGCCGTCGGACGTCATGTTGTCTCCTTGTTGGTGGATCTCCTATGCTTCTATGACAGTGTGGAACTTGAGCAGTTGCTTCAGTTGTGGGAGCCACTTGATTTTCCACCGGCCTTCATGAATTTCATTTATGAAGTTTATACCGGCCCACGGCTGCTGCAGGCAGAGCAGGTCACCTCACAAGCAGTTCACTGCAGGAAAGGGATGTTGGCAGGTTGCCCTGCCGCCCTGCCAAACTAAATTTGGCACCGATCTTGGATTCCTTTGTCTGTGAGTGTTTGGTGGCATGCACACAAGACCAAGCTAAAGCAACTCGCACTGCTTTCACTTCGGCATTTGGGGTGAGCCACACTCCTTGCCCCTATCAAATTGCGGCTGCCCCAATATCTGCTCTGAACTCTGCGATGAATTCAAAGAAAGGTTTTCAGGCATTGCTTGACACACAAGTTTCTTCCAAAAGAAAAGGGTGTTGCACCATACGCGACGGAGGGTCCGCAATATTGGCTTCTGTTGGAACTCGTGCGAACCAAAGATTCGTGGGGTGTTCGGTTTTTCAAACCTCAAAAGATTCTTGACCAAGGCACGACCCACTGCGCCTTGAGCCGTCCCTTTGATCAAGGCGAATCTGGCTGCTTCATTGTCTCCAGAACACACGGTGTAGCAGTCTGTTACAAATTCTCTCCAGAAGGAAATTGAAAATACAGCCCCTAACATCTCCAGCTCATAGATGATCGCGTCCTTGTCTTTTGCTCCAAACACATCACACATTACCGAGTCCAAGAGGATGCCAAACCATGCAATACATGCTCCGTGCGAATTGACAAGCGCCGCTCCTATGCCTCCAGCGCCCGTGTCAGGTTCATAGGAGCGTCAGTAAACAGAAAGAATTGCTCCAGACTTTCTGAGTTGACCTCCCTGGGCCGTGTGTTCGCCAATCGGTGCTTCATCCAACTTAAAGCATCAATCAAGGGCTCGCTCAGATTCGTTTGAGTCCCATATGCATGTTCAATGATCCTGCTGAGTACCAGGCGGCCCAAACGGCCATGCATAAAACTTTTCGCAAAGCCAAGCCTCCCTCGCAACACCAAAGCTTCGCGCCGTGAAAGTTTCTGTTCCGCCAGGCGGTCGACAAGTTCACGTTTGCGTTTCTCTGCGTTGCCAATCAAGAGCCGACCGTCTGTCAGCAGAATGTTGGAAGTTAAACTCAACTCCCAACGCGGCACAAAGAGTGGAAAACTCGGTCGCCTTCTTTCCTTCACGAGCGAACTCCCATCCAGTCAACAGAAAAATTCCATTCCATGTTGAGCCGAAGACACATTGCCACTGTTTGAAACCAAAATGAAATCGTGATAGAAATTAGTGTTGACGAGAAATAAACCTCTGGCCGCTATGCTGCGCAAAGCTCTGGAGAGACGCAGGAAGTTGTAAACGCTGTGAGTCGCACCAAAGGGAAGAGTACTTGAGCGGTAAACCTCAGCCTTGTTGATCTCATGGTTATATATTTAGAAGTACGCATACTTCAGGTGTTCAGCCCTCACAGGGACTTGCCGGTATGCGCTTTTGAAATCGTAGGTCTTGGCCAATAGGGTTGAGTGGACACCCAGCATGCGACACCTCTTGAAAAACTCTCGCATGAGAGCAGCGAAGGTATCAATCATACGCAAATCAATTTTGTTGTGAGTTGTTGTACACTCGTTGATGCCGCTCACGGAATAATCGTCTATGAGCCTGATCTTCTGTCCTTGTCGCAAGGGAAACCTTCGAGAAATAACAGCACCAACTGCCAGTTGAAGGGGGTCAAAAGGCCCCTCAGCCCAACCCTTGTCCAGCTCCAGTCTCGTCTCTTCCAAAAGGTTCCTCTTGGCGGCTCCAGCTGTAAGCAAGGCTTGTACAAAGGGTCCTCATAACCTATCTCCTGCAGGATCTCGGCGGTCAGCAATAGCCTTTTGGAGGCGGTGTTCATTTGCACATGCGGGGGTCTCGATGCCAGGTCTCTTTTCTCAAGATCTCTGAGCTCTGATGCGCGCTTCAACCATTTCCGACACCAATTCATTCGGTATTCGGACAACTGCTGTTCACTCATGTTCAACTGCTTTTCCAAAGCAATTTAAACATCCTTGGAGAGGCTTAGTTCACGCAGAATAGGATGCCCAGTGGCGCACACTTGATTGATGAACTGCTCACAATTCCATGGGATTCCAAAAAACCGCTCCAAAATCAGGCTCATCACTCCTGATCCTCTTCCTAAAGTTGTCGGCCTTAGTCTCAGGACCCTGGCCATCCCCCTTTGAAGATGGGTCCTGCAGTGGATAAGATTTCAAAAACCGCGATGCAGCTGGGACGGTGGCAGGCTGCCCGTCCAAGGTTGAAACAGACAGGTCGTGCTTCAATTTGCTCAACAAATTGCAAGGAATCTCGGACAAGGAAGAAACTCGACAAACAGCGGTGGAAGCAAAATCGGAAACTAAGTGAGGAACTTTGGAACCTTTTGGCTGTCGTCCCACCGCGATCTGCGCTGATTGAGCCAGTTTCAAAGGATGTGTTTGGATCCGTTCTAAGCGCGTCGCCAAGAGTACAACACCTCTAGCACGCAAAGCTTGCAAAATGCACTGCAAAATGGCTACACGTAACTGCTTGGGGTATTTGGATTCAAGACTGGTGGCCCAAACTCTAGACCCATCGGCTGTGGTCGCAAAGCGCCAAGGCTCATGCTCATGGGCGCCGTCGCACCTTGCGCACAATTGTTCCAGTTCTGGAAAGTTGCCAACAATCCTAGTCCATTTTGGGCGAGTGCCACCATACATGCAAACTTGAAAATCTGTCAGGGTCACACGACATGCACGTTGCAAACGATGGTACCAGTCAGCGAGCCAGAAATACGATGAAGATGGATTTTCCATCGTCACCAAAACTCCTCTGCTTGCCACTTGTTGAAACAAAGAGCAACTATACGCAAAAAGGTTGTTTGCGAGCACCACCCGGGTCATATCCTTATCCGACAAACCAGGCAGGCCGTGGGGATGGTCATCCGACCTGACTGGCTTAGGATCGCTCCAGTGCTTCTGAATGTCCCGGGCACGACTTGCTGTGCCGCACACGGGCGCCAGACGCAACCAGCAGAAAATGTGCGAGGAGATCCACTCCTCCAAAAGCTCTCTGCGCATAGGCTCGCATAAGTTGCCCTGTCACATTGGAGTATCTGAGCCAAGCTTGGCCTTTGATACCCCGGGGAGAGCCACGGTGCAAAGAATCCACCCAAAAGGTCAACCATTCGTTGTGTTGAGCATACGTCATGAGGTTCGCGAATTGCAGCGCTATTCCACGCCTCTGCGTGGCATAATGCATCTTCAACTCTGTGTCCGTAGGACTTGAAAGCTTCTCATTGGGGTTCTTGAGCACAAGGGAACCCTTTTCAAGGCTCAACTCCTTGGACTCTTTGCGACCCTGAATCTCATGCGAACGACTGTTGCAAGAACTCGGTTCTAAGTATTTCACAACATTCTGGTCGTAAATGGCCGATGCCCTGTCAAGAAGAACATGCGCTGGATCCAATTCGCCTGTCAAACTGAGGCCAGTCAGTGCCTTCTTCAGCTTGCATACGTGCGGTCCTTTCTGCACGGGCAACCTCGGGGCGCTTGCGTCCTGCTGTTCCAATCCCTGCCGCAAAACAGAAATGACAAAAGTCTGGGCCTCGAAAGTCAATCTCTTAATGCTGCTACTCTCCTGGATGGTGGGATCACGGCCGATCACGTTCTGTAAGAAAGTTGTTAGATCATCATTCGAAATGGCCTGATTCGGCTGGCCCAAGGCGAAAGCTAGATGGCTCAGGGTCTTGACCCCACTGCCTTTGAGCGATGCGCAAAAAGAATCACCCAATCCCAGCTCGACAAGACGCTGACTGAAATGAGCTTCACTATCAACAATGCTTGCCATTGCAATCTACAGAGAAAGAAGAAACAGCAAAAGAATCACAAACACAACGTTTCGTCAATCGTTTGGTAAGATGTTACAAATCAAAACGGCATTTACGGACTCAGGTTGCGAAAACATCCGTTTACCATAAACTAAGTGACTCCTTAGAGTGAACCCATGCAGCGCAGTTGCACAAAACTTGTGAGAATCTTCTATACACCTGGCTTTCCATGAACTATGCTTGTGCTCCTGTGAGCCCACACGAACATGGCTTTCCATGTCAACTCAACTGTCCAGCTTTCTGGCACAACTCTGCTCTTAAGCCTAAGGCACTCCGCCAAACAAGCCCCTGACTTCTTTCGTTACCGCATCACGGTTTTTTGCGTGACTGGTCCTTAGGATCAACGCCTTGCCCTCTTTAGGGCTTCGTCCAGTCGCTCGATGACTTGCTCTCTTGTTCGAAGTCTTCCCTCTGTATTGGGGAAGCAAATCAAACGCTTGGGGTATCGAAAAGTCAGAACCCTACCAAGTTCTTTGTAAACTTCACTGAGCTTCTTGCCACACTCTGTGGTCGTTTTGACGATGAACCCTTGAGGTCTTCGCATGTCTGAAAAAGGTCTCGCCCTCTGGAACGGTCTCGCAGTATGCGTCCGCATCTCGCTGCTGCACCTGAACTTCACTTGACGATGAATCAGAACCAGAGCTCTCATCACTCTCACTAGAGCTTTCAATCTGCACACATCCCATTCTAACTGCGTCCTCGCCAAACAGGCTCAAGTCAGGTGGCTTCATCGTCCATCTCTTCTTTCGCACTCTCAATGTCTTCAACATCTGCCATTTCTTCAACTGCTCTTTCGACTGTCTCGCTAGGCTGAGCCGCAGGCAAAGAAACGGCCATCGAAGTTGACTTAAAAATAGGCGTGAACACGTTTGGCCTTGGAGTCGCAAGAGCTGCTGTAGCTGCAAGCAAAGTGCCTTGGGCAGCAACCTCATCAAGACTCAAACCTATTCTCACGCTCTTGAGTAACGTTTGAAGTTTTCTCAAAGGACGTGTCTGAAGTTCCCTCGAGTATACGACGTCGCTGCCATGCAGGGCTGAGCTGTGATCTCACCCTTTGTCAAGGCCGGCCCTCGCCGCCCAATTGAGCAGTGTAGCTTTCATCGAATGCGACCTCACCTGATCGGAATTTGGGGCGCCTGCCAACAAAAGTCTCAGCCACTTCGATGCTTCAGCCGTGCTCACGGGGCGAGCCTCCCGAACACGGCGCCGGAACCAAAGGCCCAAGTGGAATGCGACTCAGGTCCAGGCCCACACTCTCATAGACGGGCAAAACACTGAAATCCAATCCTCACTGACTACTCCTTCCCAAGGAATAACCAAAGGCAAATACTGCTCACGTCTCAAACCAACTGCAGACGTTTTGTGCTCCTGCGTATAAACCACCATTGCGCCTCTCCTCAAGCTCAACCCGATGGATATAGCGCAGATCCGACCACCTAGCTCTGCCGTATATGCATATGAGCATGGCACCTGCTCCCAATCGATCCACTGGATCACAACCTATCAAAAGAATCTCATGAAGCTTCCTCAAATGCACAAGCTCCAAAATGGGCGCTTGCTTTGTTGGACCCTTCTCCCTTCGCTCAATTGCAGCGAATCCCAAAATCCTACCAGCCTGCAGGATGGAATCACAGCCACGCAATCCGACTGTGAACTTGCTGAACCTGACGGCCTCTAGGAAAGTTGATGCAGTTGTGAATCCTCTGTCAGTCCTTAAACGCTCTCCGCGCAGAAAGTGGAAAAGGGACCAAAGGTCTTGCTCGACCAATAGAAAAGGCGCCACAAAAACTCCTCTACTCTGATACAACTGCGTCCCGACATCCGAAGCTTCCAATGAGCATGCAGGACAGAAGGTCCACCCACTTCGCACAAGCAAGTTCAAGTTTCGTCTTCTTGTCTTCAAAAATAGTCCAGATCTTTTTGTATCCGAAACTGCATGAATGTAGCATACTCCGGGCTGCAATGCATCTGACACACTCTGGGGGCCAGGCACGATCGCATCAGATGAAGTCTCTTGGAGCTGCTCACCAAAAGGCATCACTGAAGGAACACTGTCACGCTGAAAGATTTCACCAGATACTCCAAGTTCCCATGGATACTTCAGTGAAGAATCAACAGCTCTGTATCTACCGTAGGCGGATGCAATCGTGCCATTCCAAACTAGGGCTCGACGACAGCGTCAACAACACTACTCTGCGGCTGAACAGTATCACCAGGCTCACTCAAAACTTCCTGACTCTGCACTGTCTCTCCTCCGAAAAGGCTCGCCTCGGAACCAAGGTCACCATGGGGAACATCAAAATCCTGCTGCAATGGATCACCTGTCAAATCAACGATATCCTCAAGAAACAAGGGTTCCAACTCTTCAAGATCAAAAGGATGAGAACGCCCTGCCATCTAGTCCTGCATCAAGGACCTATACCCCCATGGCCGCGAAACCGATCGGACAAGAGACGCGCCCACCCCTTGGGTGTTCTAAGGAGGGCTCGCCCAGGTATAACATCAGGAGTGGCAGGTGTCAATCAAAAATCTCATCAAGTCAATGGAAAATGCCTTGAAACAGTTGCAGGTACACAGAGCTGATCAGGTAGGTGGCATGTTTTTGAAGCAGCTGCAGGTACACAGAGCTGATCAGGTCGGTGGCGTGTTTTTTGACACAGCTGCAGGTACACAGAGCTGATCAGACTGGGGTCCTTGCAGGTGTTTGCAAAAGGCATGCAGGTACACAGAGCTGAGCAGGATTGAAGTCTTTCCTGCGTATGCCTTCCTTGTTGCTTTCTTTCCTTCATTCCTGACATCTTCGTGGCAACACCCTGGTCCTCCTCATCTTCAAGAACCATCCTCATAATGGTCGTCATCATCATCATCATCATCAACATCCTGATCATCATCATACCCATCAGCGCCATCATGACCACTCACAAACTCATCTAGAAGAACTGACTTACTTCTGGTATGGGGGGTCGCTTTTACTCCCTTTACATCTCACTCTCCCCAAGCGCTGCTGCGTACCCGAAGCAAGTCTGAAGCGCAGCCATAAAAACTGTGTCTTCACAACAAAGTCACAGTGACACTGCAAAATATGAACTGAGACTCGACAGCAAACCCTGAAATCTCCAACGATTAGTTTGACGCAGGCTGCAGTTGGCTAAGTCGGACCCGGGCGCCCGGCCGCGAATCAGCAGGCTTGCGGTAGAGAAGTCATTGATTAAAACAAAAGGTGATCAACCTACACTGTTATTTTTTTGGTAGTGGAGGGACCTCGAAATCCTTAATTCAGAGCCGGGCGTCCGGTCTGAAACACGGGTTGTGGGGCGCCGCGTGTCAGTGTTTGAAACCCCTGTGGGTGAAAACGACGATGGGTTTTCTTAAGGTCTGCCACTTCTCCAACTTTAGAATTATAGCGTTTGCTTGAGGCTTCTCCAACTGTGGAGAACCGCCGGGCGCTTTGTCCGCGCGCGCTCCTACGGGTCCGGCGCGAAGTCTCGGTCCACGCCCGTGTCCGTGCTCTGCGTCTCGGTCCGTGCTCACGGTGCTCTGTGTCCGTGCTCTGAGAGATCGGTGTCAAGACATCGGTGCGCTTGCGCTTGAAAGAAAAGAAAAGAAAGAAACAATTAATTAAAAGGGAATAAGAAAGAAAGAAAGAAAGAAAGACCAAACAAGGGTCAAAAGGCCTTATAGAAAGAGAGAAAGACATCTTCCTTCTTGCTTCCTTCCTCTTCTTTCTTGCTTGCTTGCTCGCTTGCTTTCTTTCTTTCTTTCTTGTTTGCTTGTTTGCTTTCTTTCATTCCTTCCTTCCTTCTTTGCTTCTTTCCTATTTCTTTCTTCCTTCCTTCCTTGCTTCCTTCCTTCAGCCAGGGTGTCAATGTCCCTTTTGGGTTGTTTAGGTGCAGTGCCATTCAAGGTTTGAAGAAACAATTTAATTTTGTTGTTCCTCAGCGCGCTCTCCTCAGAAAACACAAGACCCGCCCCACCCTTAAACCGAGATGTAGCACAAATAACGCTCAAGACATGCCACCCGGTTCAACAAGAACCTGAAACACTCGTTCAGACCGTTCGATCGTTTTCAACGAGCTTCACTGTTCAGCAGCATCCCGAACCCTCCATAGATGTCTGGGTCGATGACATTTCAGTCGACTTTGTTGGACAGGAGGCAGACACGGACTTTTGTCAGCCACTACTGTCGTTTGTCAGCAGCGGGCTGATGTTGAGGACTTGGAGGGCCAGTGAATTGATCCAGGGCTCCCTTTTGGCCAAACCCCAGTTGGAGAAAACACAAGCCTTGCTTGCCGGCGGCCAGTGTTGGGGATCTGCGGGAATGGTATTCTTGCCCTAACTTCCTTCCTTTTGGTTTGGAAAAAAAGGAGCTTTGGGGCTTCCCCCACGCGCACGGCTAGATCGCGGATATTGCCCCCCGGGCAGGCCGTGGTCGCGGCGGCGGCGGCCCTCAACCGGTGGATGACAATGACATAACAGCTCCGGGTCACCCTCTGGAACCTCTTCTTGACCGTCCCAAGTGGACCCCTCACCCTCTACTACAACCCGCTTCAATATGAATATGATGCCATGGACATGAAAACCTGGGCACAGCGCGGCGAGCCACCACCCCTCCTGCAGCCGGAACTTTTGATCCACACCTTGGAGCCCAGAGGGCTCTGGCGCGGCGAGCGCCCAATTCGATGATCTCCAACACGTCCGTCCTAAGGAACTGACGACCACCTCGAAAACTATCAAGCTCCAGGCCTGGCAGACTAAGGTGGCCAAGCAAAGACTTCGCCGAGGAAACCTGGCGGGACATCCCTTGTGGCCGTCAGGGAGCCTTGCAGAAGGGGTGACGCGTCACGATGAATTCTTTCCCACGTCCTGTGACCTGAGATGCAAGGACGACCGCAACAATTTCTCAAGCTTCAGGGCTTTCTGGACGACCTCAATGCTGATGAGCGCTTCTTTGAGATGACCACTGAAGCACATGCCTATTCCAGGCGGAAGGCTTGTCCCAGCTATCTGGGCCCACAGAATCTATTTGAGGGTAT